AAAATTTAAGCTTGCACCTATTACTTCTGTAGATGTCGAAAGGAGTTTTTTTTGTACAAGTACATACTTACTGATAGGAGACAATCATTTAATACAGATAATTTAGAAAAACATCTAATTGCTCATTCGTTTTATAATAATGTTAATTTGTAAATAAAATTAGTTAATAATTAAATAATTATTAAGTATTATATTAGGTATTGTAAAATAAAACAAATAATAAATAATAATAAACTATTTCGATCAAATAACAAATTACTCTTATTGCATATGCTCTGCATATTTTTCAATTTTTTACGCATATATTGAAGTATTTTTGCGGCATATATATGCGCATATTTAACTACTTTTTGGGTGCATATATTCCTAGGTCTACTTATAATAAACGTAAGAGCTTGCTTGGATTAATTTAGAATTCTATACTTGAATGAAATAATTTATTCTCAGATTAATTATTATAACTCTTAAAATACAAGATTATGCCTATACTTCACTTAACATTTATTTTCTTATTGTATCGAGAAATATTATTTGAAGCAAACTCTGCTTTATTTCAAACAAATATAATCTTCCAAGTGTAAAGCTTTTCTTGAATGTAGATGATAATTTTTTTCTGTGCAGTTTCTCCTTGCAACGTGTTTATTTCTCTTTGAATATAATAATAATAATAATAATAATAGTTTATTCAGAAAATAGACAAATTAATACATACAAAAATTGGACATTATAAGAACAAGTAATATAAATTTAAAAAGAATAATAACAGCAACAGAATAAACATGTGTGCGAGTTCATCCATAAAAGCCAAAGAGGCTGTGAATGGACGAATATATTATAATATTTGAATGTGTATTGAAAAGTAGAAAAAAGTAACAATAAAAACAAACAGAACATTATAACAAGCCAAAATTAAAAAAAGATTAAAAAAATAATTATTAGACACTTAACAAGAGGTGAACATTTTCCCTTCCTAAGTTTATAATGTATGTTTTAAAACGGTTTTATATGAATTCTAATGAGTTTATATTGAGAAGGTACATTTCATATGATTCGGGGAGACTATTAAATACTTTACTCATTTGGTGTGAATGTGTTCGGATGCTAACATTTCTTCGTAAAAACTGTATATGTACATTTATATTTTCTCTATATCTTGTATTGTGACGGTGATTTATAAGGTGTAATTTTTTTTTATTTTTATAAATAAATATAATTATTTGGTGCATAAATAATTGTCTTATATCAAGTATTCCTGCCTCTTAGAACAGAAGGTGGGAAGGGTATCTAAGTTTCTTTTTAAAAATTATTTTTAGAAACCGTTTTTGTACTACATCTATCTTTTTTATGTAACAAAAGGCAGCTCCTCCCCAATTAATAATCGAATATCTTAACCTTGATTCGATCAGAGCAAAATAAATAGTTTTGAGATGACAAGGATCTATAATAATTCTAAAATACCTAAATTTGTACAATAATGTCCTCAGGACTTTAACTACATTTTCAATATGATTATCAAATCTAAGGTGGCAATCTATATGTAGTCCAAGGTACTTTACATTATTTTTAGCGGTAATGCCTACTTTAGAATTTGACCTCTCCACTGTTTATAAATTATAATCAGGTAATGTACTTACTAATATTGTTAGAAAATGGCACAAAGTAAGTTTTTTCGAAGTTAACGGTAAGTAATTTATGACTAAATAGATCGAATATATTTTTTAAATCAATTTCTGTTTTCTTTTTTAGATCTGTCCAGCTATTATCGGAGTAAACAATCGCTGTATCATCTGCAAAGATTATTAATCTACCTGCACTTAAATAAGTAAAAATACTGTTAAGATAAATAATAAAGAGGATAGGACCTAACACAGTACCTTGAGGTACACCAAATTTAATACATTTTCTTTTACTTAAAGTGTTGTTAATTTTTACCGTTTGAGTTCTATTTAATAAATAATTTGAAAAAAGTTTGTTTGGTTCGCCTCGAATTCCTATATCATCCAGTGCCTCCAGAAATTGCGCATGAGAAACTGTATCGAAGGCCTTAGCCAGATTCAGAAACACGCACAAGGTAGGTTTGCTAATTTCTAAGGAGTTCGTAACTTCCTGTAATAATTCCGAAATAGCATCATATTATCAATAATGCTGTCCATTTGCTCCCGTATACTTTGAATTGCTGCTTCGAAATTCTCCAAATCTTTTTTGACCTTAACAGCATCTGTGCATACTTTTTGTAATTGTTTAAAAATAATTTCCACGTGAGGGCATTATTTGATGAAAAATACTTAACCAAAATATAAAATTTTTATCCTGAAATTTTAATTTGTACCCACTTGCTTGATTAATAGACGAAGAATCGCGTGAAATACTTTCTATAAGGTCCACAACTGTAATCAGATCTTTTCTATTCTCATAAACAGTATGAACACATCGCGATTGAAAATTCCAACGTGTTTGGGAAGATCTTGGCAACCTGCGATTAACTACCTCATCCAAAATGTTTGTTCTTTGAGAAGACGTGGAAAAGAAAGAGCACAAACCAGATAAATGAGAAAAAATATTGTAGCCTGCTTATTGACAGAACATGCACTTGTCATAATTAAATTCATCTGGTGTGCATAGCAATAAACGTAATTTGCAAGAGGATATGTTTAATAATTTTTCCGAATTTTCTTTCTCATCGTGACCCTTTAAAGCTAACTCCAAAGCTCCACAAAACCTTATACAGTTTATAATTTGATTTAAAACATATCGATTCTTATCCACTTGTTGATTATGTTTAATTAGAGCATCATGATAAGCCTAATTAAACTGGGTATTTATATTTACTTACCAAGCATAAAAAACTAAAAACATTATTCATGTGCAATTTAGATTTTTCATGGGATTTTATTTTATCCCATATATGGACAAGATCGTATGTGCCTTTTTTTACCAAGTCTCCTCGCCTCCAAACAAAACACATACAAAACAAAACAGTTTATTAGTTTCTTCGCAACCTCACAACCAATTATTTTTATCATAAATAGTTTTATTAAATTTACGACACCGCGATTTTTGCCCACTTTCACTTTGTTTTTCAATTTTTAAATCGGGAATTGGCCGGCCCAATTCTTTAATTTGTAGTTTTTCTTCTAGCGAAAAACCACTAAAAATTTTTTTTAAGATGCCAAATTTATTCATTGTCACAATAAATTAGAAACTAGGCAATAAGACAAGTTTATCGAAAACAAAAAGATACATAGGTATTAAAGTCACTGACATTTCGTAACGTAACGAAAAAATTAAGAACGCGTAAAGAAATTCGGTTAATTCAGTGTACAATCGAGAAACCGCGAATATCTAAACTGCTTTCGGCGCTATGCCTGGCACGAACATTCCTTAATTTTACCATTTAAATACATGTAAAATGTCCCCATCTCTGTTGCTCACATAAGCTGCTGGTAAAATCTCTCTCTCTTTTCTAGTGCCAGCTAACAAATGGCTCTGGTTTCGACAAGAGCTTGGAGCGCAAGGTTGCCACATTTCAAATAAATTTTGAATATAAAAAGAAATGCATACAATTAAATAAAAATATGATAAGACGTTCTAAAAATAAAAAATATATTTTTGCATTAAAAATAAGGTAGTGGCATGGCACAGTGGCACTAACTCACGAGCCGCCACTGCCTTACTTTTTTTTTAAATTATTTTACTTGTACTCCAAATGAAAATATCCATTTCTTTAAATTTTATTTCCAATTAATAACCCTTCTTTTCATACAAAATCCAAAATCTACATCTTTTTTTAAAAATTGTTATGACCATTCATCAATATCGACATCCTGATTTTTTTTTTTAAATAATTTCAAATTTTTCAGCACCGACCTTAACTATCAAACGTTGATTAACAAATTTATAAATTTGAAAACCAAAAATCTACAATTATTTTAATTTTAATTTAAATATCATATGAATTTACACTTTAAGTGGGTAATGCGTTTAGAATGAGGTTGTATTCCACGTCTCTGGTAGTAAGATTGTTCTGCAGCCGGTGTTTCTAAAGAGTCCACATAATATTAAAACAAACAATGTTGAACACACTTTAGTGCTTGGCGAATTTATGGAGAAAGTGCAAGATTTGATATACAGGCCAAGATGTCAACACTTTTACTGCGCTATTTTAGTTTATTGTACATGGCATGTCGCTGTTATATTTTTATGGGGGAAAATATGGCATTATTGCAGTTTTATGGCCCAAATCATTAAAGATTTTATTGTGGGTTTTACGTTAAGCGCACTGCGCATTTTGATCTCATTTGTTATAGCTTTCCGAAAAATTCTACTGATATTTGTAATGCATAGCGTGAAACAAACAGTACAAATATTTAACTATATGATCTGGAAATAAAAATCGAGATTTATTAGTAAAATTTAAATCTTGTGCACTTTTATGTACATTTTTGATGTTACCTTATTAATTTTTCTATGTGGGCACCGTTTAAAGTTTATACAGTGTGTAACAGCCCAATGGAATAAATTAAGTAGCTCGATTACTCTGCATATTTATAAAAAATCCCGAAACACATTAATTTTAAATTTTAAAATAACATCCTGTAACGTGAAAATTTCACCGCTACCATTAATTTTGGTTTTTATTATCCAGAGTTTCTGGATCAGTGCTATTGTATCTTCTAGCTCGTCAAGGCGGCGGCATAATGTAAAAATTGGGTAGCAAGGTGGTTTTTTATTCAACCATACCTTCCTTCGAAAGTGGGTAAGGGGTGATCTCTTGTGGCTCATCGGAGTTTTCTTGCTAGAGATCATCGATTGCTATTTTTTCTGGCCTAAATTGTGGGGGGAAGAGGATCCTTTACCAAGAAGTCTTCACGATGCCCAAGACGAAGAAATGGATCTTAGGATCTTTTGTGATTTCATGGTGGAAGGTGCACCATTTCGCCACATGTAAGTTTGGGTTTTGCCCCCATAAGTCGTCTGAGCACAACCTCCTTCTCGTCAAACTAAGCTTGCGCTTCCCTTTGGATCCAGAGAGCGGCTTTGGTGAGCTTGGGGAGCTCGTCCATCCTCACAATAGTGATTGTTGCTCCTTTCCATATTTTTAAGGTTGGTACCTTGATTTTTAGCCATTCCAACGTCAGGTCATCGTCGCACGTTACTCTCATGATTTCACCAGAGTGCGTCCAAAACCTAAAAATGGGTGGCTTGGTTTTGCTGCAGGAGGCGTACAAAACTGTTTTGTCTAGCTCTGCCATCAGTGTATTTTTGACCAGGATTTCTCTTTCGGCAGTTATCTTACCGTAAGGGTTAGTCTTGTCTATTATAGCTACTTTCAGGTGGCTCGTAGCTGCATCCTTGTAGCTAATCCCATACATAACGTTGTTGTCCTGTCTGGGTTTTTTTCACTTCTGAGGCGTTACTTTGGAAGAGGTATGAGATCGCGGCCTTTTTTTGTCCCTAGTTGCTTCGTGTTCCTGGCTTCTTGTGGAGGCAGAACTAGCGTCGCTCCCAAAGGACTTGATTTTATCCACTTTTGTTTGGTTTGGAGTGAGGGCGTTTGCTGAGGGTGGCAGTTGCCGTAGCACTGCCGCCTGCAGCTCATCTCTCTTCTTTCTTTTTGCTTCAGACCCAGAGATTCTCTTGCTACTCCGGGGGCTGTTAGTTGGAGGTGAACGACTGTGTTCTTTCTCCTTTTTTTGGAGGTGGGCATTGCGTCGATGTCTAGCTATCTGTGCCGGAGCTGAACTTTGTTGTCCAGGCTCCGTTGCAGGAGGTGAGCGTTGACGTCCATCCTTCTTTTTTGGAAGGAAAGGTCGACCGACGCAGAAACCCGCATGCGCCGGCAAGAATAGATACAAGAGGATGTCGCCAGGTTCCCTCAGGGGAGTGTTTGTTGCCGCATCTGTCCCTGCGACAATTTATCCGTCGGCACCGGCACGTTACCTTACATTTTAGATTGTGTGAGTTGATTCGCAGCGGTACTTTTCCCAAAAGATTTTGAGGGTTTTTAGGCACTCCCATTCTACTTATGTCTACCACTAACCAAGGAAAACTTGGCCGTTCTTCTATACACCACCCGGAGACGCTAAGCGATTTCTTAAAACAATACCGTATTTGACAGTTTATTAGAAAATGCATGATAGCACAGTTTTTATGGCAAAGGTCTATATACAGGATTGTTCAAAGCAGGAAAAAAGTAATTATTGATACCTTATTATCTGAATTTTTACTAGATTTTAGTAAGACCAACCCGAAAAATCTCAAATACAATACATCATAAAATGTAAATGAGCAAACCCTGAGGGAATAATAAATAATACTATACCTTAGTGACAGGGAATATAAAATTACTTTAATATAAAAAATAGAAAACTGTCAGTATTAAGTACCCACATTTAGTTTTATAAAAATAGTATACCAGATATTAGGTTAGAACATCTCTTTAAAATTTATTAATAAATATACACAAAACCAAAATATCTTTGAAAAAAAATATTTTCTTATAAAACACCCATATTTAGTTTTTAGAAATTCCATATAAATTTGTTTGTTTGTCTGTATTTCGGGTAAAAGCGTCATATAAACTTATTAAAATTAATAAAAAAAAAGTTACGTACCTTAATAAACAAGTCGTTTTCTTCTGATAAGGAGTCATTATAATCAGTTTCCTCACTTTCCACAGAAATAATAATATGTTCTATTGTTTTCAATATTAAAATATCAATTTTCCAGAATTTCTCTTCCTCTGCTATGACAAACCATCTATAAATGCTTGACGAGCATTTGTTACCTGTTTATCTTGCCGAACTTTTTTTTATAATTTCCCTTTAATACCGCTTTTTCCAACAAATAATTTCATCTTTCTCTATGAGATTTTCTATCGTTCTTCTCCCAAACGAAACATAATTTATGTAAAGTTTTCCACAATTTGTATCTTTTAATGTTTGGCAAAGTTTCGTCTCCATTAATGTCTGCTAAAAGTTTATCAAAAGCAGGTATTTTTTTGTAAATAAAACGAATGCACTTTTATTTGGATCAGTTGTTTCATAGTACCGTCTGTTTGAATGGGTTTTCTCCCAGTTGACGGTTTACTGACGTGCTACGTGCTACTGTAATACCTTTATCCTTTCATTGCTTCAAAAGTCTATAAATGGTTGCTTTTCTAAAACTCCGGGCACATTTGAACACTTAAGAACTATTGAAATGGTTATGTACAAGAGCGTCATGTACATTTAACACTAAAGTTTGCATATGCACGGTTAAATTGCATTTTAATTTCACAGGAGTACGTTTGTGCCCTTTTTAATTTATAAATTCACTTGATCAATATCGCTTTGTATCGCTTATTGTTACAGAATTAACACTTTTGCGTGCTGTATATAATAAATTAATAATTTGAACAAAATGCTTTTAAAATTGTTTATAATCCTCAATTTCCTTTTTAACGATACGCCCAAGTTGACGTTTTAAAGGAAGCGGTCACTGTTGCTCACATCATACCTC